CAAAGGTCATTGTAGTGAACTTACAGCTTAGTAGAAGATCTGAATTAATGTATAAATTGAGGCATATCAAAGTAGAAAGTATTGGAATTGTTCTCATTTATTTAAGCTGGTTGTATGAACCTAAGTACTTTTTCAGAAAGTGATATTTTGGTTATTTGTCATTTCAGTAGATTTCCTTCACCACTCTAAATTACTGTGTGTGATTATTAGAATACATACTTTTAAAATGAACTGTTAGCAGATTTGCCTATTAAATATTTTTGATAAAGTTAATAATAATGTGCAGGCCATTATTATTGCATCTCCTGTCAAAGTAGTCAAGCATATAAAAAAATTAGAACAAGGATGAATAGATGAATCTTGTAGAACATTTTAATTCTGGAAGTTTTATTTAATGATTTGTTTAGACAAATCTTTGCATATAATCATATACCTGTGATTTCATAATAAATACTATTTGATGTTAGTATTGAGATTTATATCCGCTCTCTTTTATAATATTTATCAGACTTTAAAATTAGGTTAAGAATGCATAGAAATGAAGCCACTCAGTTATTTAAGACAATATCTGAGGTCAAGTAGAACCTTACATTTATATTATGCTGAAATGGCAGAGAGTTTTATTATTTTGGTGCGGCAAACATCAGTAGATACAGTCACATGGACTTCCTACCATAATTCTTTGCTGTGGTTTGTTGAAGACTCTTCATACCTGAGGATAACACATACCTGAGTGTTAACCTGTAGTCTGCATTAAAAAGGAATCTGTGATCTTCATAAACACTAATTGAGAGCCAAGCAATGTTAAAATTATGTGTAGATTTATATCTTACCCTGGTGCTGCTTTTTAAAAAACTTATTGAAAACTCAAATATACACAAAAATACAGGAAATTATATGAGGAGAGTTATATATGAAGCTGGATAAATTGTATATCACCTGTAAGTTATCAACTCATGGCCAACTGTGTTTTCTCTATACCCCTCCTTGACTCCTAGATTATTTTGAAGCAAATCCAAAATATCATTTCATTTCATCCATAAATATTTTATTATGTATCTTTTAAAGATAAGGATTTTTAAAAACATAACTCTAATATCATTTATATTTTCAAATAGCTAGTCAGTGTTCAAATTTTTCTTCAAATTTTGTCTCAAAATTCTTTTTTATAATGTTTGTTGAAATTAGGATCCAAATAATATCTATACATTGCAATTGGTTGATGTATTTCAAGTGTCTTTGATATATAGTTCTCCATTCTTCTCATTTTCTCCCTTTCAAAATATTTAATAAAGAAATTGAGTTATTTGTCTTATAGAACTTCTCACAGTCTGGGTTTTGCCGACTGCATCCCCATGTTTAGCATGTTTTTCTTTTTCCTATATTTTCTATAAACTGGTAGTTAGATTTAAAGGCTTGATCAAATTTAAGTTTTACTTTTTGTAAATAGGTAATAGGTGCCATAGGTAGTGGTGTGTATGTTGGTTAAGAGGCACATACCTGGTTGTCTCTCTTTTTATGATAGTAGCAGCCATTTGATGATCGTTGCCTAGGTTTATCATCTTATTATGGATTGTAAATCATGATATTCTAATTATATACTTCCGTATTCATTTATTAACTGGAATATTTCTATAAAGTGATATTTATCCATAACAACTATTTGGTAACTCTGAAGGACAATTCTTACAAGGATAGGCAGGGTAAATTCTAGATTCTTTTCCTTTATTTAGCAGTTTTCAAAATAATGAATTGAAAGTCTAGCATCTTCCAAAGGTGACTGATGAATTTTTAAACAAATATTTTTATAATTTTAATATAAAATATTTTATATAATTTTATAAAAATATATTTTATAAATATTGAAGTACTTAAGATCTTTGCTTTTTTATCGATGTTCAAACTGTCCTATCTTTTGTAGGAACCTCCTCAAGTTTATTCTTTAGTCCTGACATTTCATGACTAGTCATTGATAGTTTTCTTACTTTGTGTTATGGCAAGATGTTCATATTATACATTTTCTGCCCCAGATTTGTAGTCCGCCGTTTCTCTAAGGAGCCCTAGTTTCTTTTAGTAGGAAATGGTATTTAAAAATTACAGTCTGGGTACCAGAGATATTCCTTGCTACTGCATTGGTCATTATCTCTAGGCCTTTGTAGTGGACAAAACTAGAAAATAACTTTCTCTTTTTAAAGAAAAAATATGAGTTTGTATTGATAGTTCCAATTTAAATTCAGGACTATAGAGTTTTTACTTCTTCAATCTTACATATGTATCTCCTTTCAAACAGGCTGAAAATTGTGGTTCCCAATGACACCAACGTAATTACTCATTTGTTATATCCCAATATATATAGAATGCTCTCAGAACTAACAATGTTAGTAATATACTACAAACATATAGAATTTCTTTCTCTTCTTAAGGATATATCCTTTGTGGGATGAACGGATAAATTACTATGTTTTAAAGTTACTTGAAATAATTCCGCTTTGTGTAGATTTGCCACTAACTTGATACACAGTTAATTTGTTTCATATGATTTTGATAGTTTAAGGATTGATTTTTTAAAAATATAATGTTGTGGGCCGGCCCCGTGGCTTAGTGGTTAAGTGCGCGCGCTCCACTGCTGGCGGCCTGGGTTTGGATCCCGGGTGCGCACTGATGCGCTGCTTCTCCGGCCATGCTGAGGCCACGTCCCACATACAGCAACTAGAAGGATGTGCAACTATGACATACAACTATCTGCTGGTGCTTTGGGGGAAAAATAAATAAATAAATAAAATTATTAAAAAAAAATATATATATATAATGTTGTTTTATAACTATGTTAAGTAGTTATATGATTCCAAAGTCAAATCCAAGAAATATAGCATACTTAGAGAAATTTAACTTTAATTCTGGTCCCCTTCCTCCCTATATACCCCTTTAAGTCACCATTTTAAAAAGTTTTGGTTTATATTGATACATCCATCCATCCATCCATCCCTCCCTCTGTGTGTCCTTCATCTTAGATAAGCATTTGCATACTCTACATACTTTTCTCCACTTTGCTGTTTTCACCTTACAGTACACTCTGGAGATTACAGTATGCATTCTCAATGGGGGATATCACCCCAATGGGGCAAAAATTGGTTCTTGACGAGTGAATAAAATGTTGGATGTTACAGTGGTTTGTGGCCCTCCCAAGGGTCATGGTACATAAACAGATACACAGTAGATCTGTGATACTAAAATTTTATGGGGGGGTGATTAGGAATGAAAATGTCTAAAAAGACTTCTTGGGGGACAATATTGAAAAAAAGGTTGAGAAACTGCTCTCTATATAGTACATTAATTGATATTCCTTAATTCTTTTAAAAGTGTATAGTGTCTGTTATGATATATTGAACTAGCCCCTTATTGGTCAACATTTGGGTTGTTTCCATTCCTTTGCAGTTACCACCAGTGCCGCAGTGAACGTATGTTCTTTAGTATTTTCATCAGTGTGTCTTTGAGATGGATTCTGAGAAGTGAGATTCCTAGGTCAAAGGCTAATTGCCTATGTAATTTTGCTAGACATTGCCAAATTCCCCTTATGGCAATGTTTTAGTTTGTACTAGTGGATATGTTCTGAATTAGTTTATTGTGAGACGTTGGTGCCATTTATGAAAACCTTATTAGTCTTCTAATTAGCTGTAAGAAATATTTTCATATTGCAAAATGGAAGTTTAGACATTATTTCACTTACCAGATTTTTTTCAAAATTATCACTACATTACTTACCATCTGTAGTTTATAAAAGAACAATGGATCTGTCTAAAAGGTCACATGGTTTAAACTAATTTTTTTTAAATATACTATATCTGTGCTTAGTGAATACAGTTGCCAACGTTAAGGGTTTGTTTTTCGAGTAAGTGTAGTATGTATATTTTTAAATGTTTGGTTTTTATTTAATTATAAAAGTTTAAATTTCAGCTAAAATTTTGCCTGAAATTTAAACATTTAAATATAAATGTTTTTAAATTTCCACCAAAGATAGAGCTTTTAAAAAATTTTTTATCCTAGGGTATAAACAGATTTCCCATTGGCCTATTTCACTTAATTTTGAAATACTTTGGACCAACTAGATTACCTAGGTGTTTTTTAACCTATTGTTTTATGAAGCTATTAGATTGTGTGGCAAAAATCCCTTTGTATATAAAGGTACCCATCGTCAATGCCCTGCATAGCGTGGACTACATGGGACCATTCTTGTCACTTGGATGGTGCATGCTTTTTCTAGGGAAAAATCCCTTCAGGAATCCCTAGTTCCAAATCCCTTCAGTAATACTTGCCTTTACCATCCCCACAGTGGTCCAGATTAGAGTCCTTCTTACTTTAACCCTAGCTAGGATCTGCAAATATTAGAGATAGATTAAAAAGGAACATTACGTTTTTTGAGAAAAAGTTCCATGGATAGTTTGTAGCTCAGTATTTTTATATTTTCAGTCTTGTGTTCTAATGATTTTCAGTTTAATGACCTGAGGGATGTTGCACAGTAACTCAAACTGATCATGACAGAGATTGAATTGAGTCAGTCTGTCCCTATAGTCCTTAAGATATTTATATGTACCAGGAAGAGGGCCTGGCATAGTAAGCACTTGTATTTGTTGAATAAATGAATGGATGAGGAGCTTCTATCATTGATATTCGGTGAATGGTTAATGAGGAAAGGGCTTAGAATATCTGAATATTTTGTCTGTGAAAAGCAGACAAAAAAACAGTCATGAAATTTCTAGAGCCGGGTTTCCTACAACACATTTCACTATTTGGAGGTTAAATGTATAAAGAGAGAAATACAGTTTGGGAGACACCATGAAAACATCACACTTTTGTTAAGTTAGAGGACTCCACTTTGCTAAAGCATCGCATTATTGCACAAGTACTGTCAGCTAGAAAAGTTTTGCCTACTAGTTCCCTTGGTTGTGGAGTGAATTTGGGTTTTTAATGAATATATGTAACATTTTCCTCTTCCTTTTTAGGCATTTGGGATCACAACTTTGTGAATTAGAAAAGCTGATAGATAAAATGATGATTGCAGAATTTTCTGCATATTCTCACAGTGACTTAAATAGACCACTGGAAGATGACTGTCAAATTTTAGAAGAGGTATGTGTTTTGAACTGTGAAATGAAATTGATATCATTGCTTAGTGTTAATTCCCAGCAGTCTTAGTTTAGAACACATTCTTCTCAGATTATAGTGAGCAAAATTATCTTAAATTTTAAGCTCTTTCAGACCTATGAAGTCCTTCACTATGTGACTTTAACAAGCCTCATAATTGTTCATTATCCTATGAAATTAGAGAATACAATAATTTTATAGCTTAATTAGAAATTGGAGTTAAAATGAAGTCTTTAGCTTACAAACCAAGTTCAAAATATAAATATAGGATGAATTAACATATATCCATGTGTATGCATGTACTGGAGTATGTCTTTTATAAAAAGTGATCATTATTATATAGCAACTTATTAGTCATTCACATTCACTGAATACTCATGAACATGTTTTATGTATATGCATATACAAATATTTCATATCCAGGCTTCACTTATCTGGTGACTTCTCAGTGCTGATTACTGCCAAGAACTAGTAGAGAATCCAAAAAGCCCTGATAGCAGCCTAAGTAAAGATATTTTTGTACATGTTAGCAGTTAATTTCCCCCAGTCTTCTAGACCACTGATTTAAAAACCCAGGGCTCGTGGAGTATTTATTGGTCATCAGTGTTTGAGAAGAATGCTTTCTAGCTGCTTGTTGAAACTAGGCCAAAATATACTCTTAGATTGTTTTGCCGCCAAACCTGCTTCATTTGATCCACTGTAGTGGTATAGGATTTACCAGTTTTAGAACCCTAACTCCCAAAATCTGATGACAAGATTGCTGTGGAAAGGGTTTTTGTAGGCTTCTAGAAAATACTACATGCAAGATAGAGATCTGAGGATCAAACAATAAAATCCTTGATGTTGAATATTTCTACCTCTAAGTGAGATTATTTTATATTTAAAGTGTGAAATTACATACTCTTCTTTTATTTTAATAGGAAAGACTAGTATCTCTTGTATTTGGACTTTTAAAACAAAGAAAGCTTAATTTTTTAGAAATCTATAGTGAAGAAATGATTATTACAGCAAAGAATATCATTAAACAGGTAATTATACATTTTTTATTTGCTACATTTTGGTCTGGAATCTTTCTTGAAGTTTATTTTTACATGATCCTAGTAATAATATATGCAGTATAATAGTAATATTTTCTCATTTATTTAAAAATTGATGGGGCTGGCCTTGTGGCATAGTGGTTAAGTTTGTGTACTCCACTTCGGCGGCCCAGGATTGACAGGTTCAAATCCTGGCTGTGGATATAACCACCGCTCATCAAGCCATGAGTGGCAGCCTCCCACATATAAAATAGAGGAAGATGGGCACAGATATTAGCTCAGGGCTAATCTTCCTCAGCAAAAAGAGGAAGATTGGTAACAGATGTTAGCTCAGAGCCAGTCTTCCTCACCAAAAAGAAAAATTGAAAATATAGACAGACAAAAGAAAAACATAGCCCTGCCATCCAAAAGATTATCACTTTAAGAATATTTCTAAGTGTTAATTGTTACTGATGTTTTTCATTGTTGCTGTCAAGCTGTATATATGATTTGGAATTGTACATATATTTCAGTTAGAATCATAACATAAGCATTTTCTCATATCAGCCTTCAGAAACATAATTTTTAATGGTTGTATAAAATTCCATCAACATTATGTTAGTTAAACCTACTTAACCTTTCCTCTATGTTGAATATTTAAGTTGTTTTCAGTTTGGTACTGTAAAGAACACACATCTTTTTTTTTTTTTTTTGTGAGGAAGATCAGCCCTGAGCTAACATCCATGCTAACCCTCCCATTT